CTCAGCCACTTTTCATGACAAGCAAGGAACCTAGGTATGGAACAAGTCCTCCCAGTGGTCCTTATCAAAGATCTTGGGCTGATTAAGTGCAGTTAGAGGAGCCAAGCACATGAATGTGCAAGACATCCGCAGTGGGATCTTTTTACAAACCCAACGGTCTGGAGGTAACCTTCATGTGGTCGTGCCTTATAATGTTAGCCATCACACCTTGATGACCACACCATCGCCTTTTCGAGGCTCATACGCATACGATAGTAGATCTGCCTACACCCCACTTTTCCTCCTTATGCATTCCTTTTTAATGTTAGCACCGATGACGAGCACATTACCAACACAAATGGTCACAAGAACTTTATCGCGCAGTGAACTGGAATTATCCCATTCGAGCGCGTATTTGATTAACATATTGAGCACAAATGGTTGAACATTCATGATACAGTTGGTGAATATCATACGCGTACCTGAAAATTCGCAAATTAGCGATGGTAGATCTACAGAAAGTGTCTTTGAGCCATTAAAATTGAGTGAAATCACCTGTATCGGCAATACGTATTCAATTCCGATGGGAAATGTACTCAAAAAATGTTTGTAGTATTGCACAAGAAAGCTCCAAATTTTCCTTCAAGTTTATTCTTTCCAATCTAATACATATTAGAATGTTATTCACTGCGTATATTATTGGTTAAGCAACTACTAATCCTCGCTGTTCACTACTACTATATTCTTTTTCCTTTGAATTGATTTGCATGACTTTCTTTGCGTTGCATACACGGAAGACATGGTACGTCTAGGGATAAGGCAAAAGGATTGATTGGGTTTTCCATTCTCCTTGCTACCACTATATCAATATACTAAATACCTTTACCAGGAGTTTTTTAATTCTCGATTCATTGTTTAACAATTGAAACAACTGAACTATATGAAAACTTGTGTGTATGTGGGAACGTTCCCGCTATAAATGATGAAGTAAATTGCGATGATATAAGGACGCGCTACTTCGGCCGACAAACTGGTTAGAAAAAATAATTGGAATTGTCCATGCTAAACCTACGCTTATTCAAACAAACAACATCTGTTTTTCTGACAACAGGTGGGAATCGATGACAACTTTGGATTCCTCTTCTCTCGGAACTCTTTCTCTGGCTAGTAAAAAAATCTATGCTTGTCGAGCAGCAGTTCTGCATGGCATTTTTGCAAGCATTTTGTTTCTACTCTCTTCTGCCATAAGTCTGACCTGAGATATTCTTAGCTGTTTGCAAAATAATTTTATGAAATTCAGTATGATAATCAGAGAAACGATCTAGCAATGTAGCACATTACACACCTTCCCTTACCATCTAGAAATGTAGCACATTACACACCTTCCCTTACCATCTAGCAATGTAGCACATTACACACCTTCCCTTACCATTGAGCCTAGCATTATTAAGAGACGAGAGGAGTCGGCGTATTAACCGTGAAAATCCCCCAAGATTTCTTACTCGTATTCAACTAATCTTTAGGCTTTCTTAGGTCAACAAATATCTGTGCTCTTTCTACAAAATTCGCAAAACGAACCAATGGTTCTAGAAAGGAAGACTTTCGAAAATTCCGTCATTACGGAATTGAAGCCCTTTCATGAGCCCTTTCATAAATCCAAATGTCAGGGATATTGCCGGTTTCCTTTTGAAAAACTTCACGTAAGCAAATTTTCTATTTGCTTTAAACTAGCTGCTCTTCTCCATACGTTAGTGATCGATTCGAAGGGTTTCGACGTTCAAAGAACATAACGGTGACAAGATGAAAGTGATTCGACGGATTACTTGGCCACTGGAATAAGATGTTGCTCTCTGAACTCGTTCCTTACTGATTCGAGTCCTGCTATGATATCCAAAAGTGAGAGATAAAGATCAAGAAAGATTACAATTGATATTGAGCAGGAGATCCCAACGACTATGCCACTTCCATGCATGCCTTTTGGCTACAAAGGGCTGAGGGTTCTCGGTCCCAAAAAAGGTAGTTCATAAATGTCCAGTCAATGGCACGAAAATCTTTCATATATACAGTACATAGCGCTCAAAAGTCTTCGGTGAAATGTTTTGACGCTTTTTCGCTCATAACATTTTTCTTAGTAGACGTGCTGATGTCTCATAATTTTGATTGCAGGACACTGTGAGGTGTTTTTCTGCAGCCATAGTGAATAACAATGCAGCATGATCGGTGAGTTCTTTACACCTAACTGAAATTATCAGAGGGTAAAATAAATTAATGTGGTGAAGTATAAGAATCCTTCACTCAAAACACCTGTACAAGCTAAGAAAGTTTGTTCGAAATATGTCTCATTTATATATGTAAATAATGAAAATTATTAATTTTATATAAGATCCTCACAAGCAGCCCACCTGTCTCGGTAGAACGTCTTGTGAAGATCTGCCTTCCACGTATACTACTTTTAAAAAGTCGTTGCATGTATTTCAATATGCTTTTCGTGTCGCATCGAGCAATGTCTAAGACCAGGTCTAGGTACTGCCCTGGATCTAGGCAGGGTGATTTGCACTTTGGGGATTCAATTCATATGTTCGAACTACTTGACATTAGTCGAAGAAGAGAGAATTCCTCATCCGATTTGCTGTCCACTTTTTTGAAGGGCTCTCTAAAGATGCCTTCCCTGTACACGATACTTCACCATCACGACTATATCGTTTGTATCCGACTTGTCCTCGTGAACTTCGCCACTCACTTAAGTCGACTTTGAGCAATTCATTCCGATCCTGCGCACGTCGTCTCCATTGTTGGCCAAGCATATTCACCATATGTTCAGCCCAAATCAATTTAGGCCTTTTCGGCCCCAATGGGTTCCAATTCGTCAGCCGGAAGGTCCGTCGGTTGCCTTTTAAACGTGCCACATGACTGGCCCATTCTCGTTTACGTTTATACGTTTCCTGGATAGCATAAATAAGGCCGCGTCGTCTTCGCAGCTCTGTGTTGGTGATGTGTTCACAAAATAACACTTTGCGAATTATGCATTCCATTGATCTTTGCATCACATCAAATTTCTCTTCGTCTGCCTTCGTTGACGACTAGCATTCCGCGCCATACGACAACGCAAGTATCACGGTCAGGTAAAACAAGGACGCTTTTGGTTTCATCGAGAGTTCTTCGTCTAGTAATGACGTTGAGATTTTGTTGAAGGTAGACCAAGCTGATTCCCTGCGCCTGCTGTACCCTCCGATGCTGCCTTCTGTGAAGGTGTCCGAGGTACTTGAACGCACAGTTCACGATAATTTTGGGTAATCCATAATATGACGAAAAGTTGAAGATATTGTGGAAAATAGTTCGGAGTTTACAAACGATAAAAAGCTTCAGAAAAATAGTTAAAAAAGACGCTGGACAAGAAGAAGAACAGAAAATGAAAAAGAATGGTGTATGGATCTGGAGCTATACAATTTATGTCATTGTGTACGTGTGAGTCCTGGTGCGAATAGCTGGCTACAGTAAACAAAAATGTCTTTTACAATCTATTCACTCATAAGTATAAGTTAATATAAGTTAACTAAAACACTGGTAACAGTAAAAATAGCCCACCTCTCTCAACACAGGGTAGAAAAGTAAATAAAGATCGCTTCATTGCTGTGGGTCCTAGAGCAAATACTGCAATCTGTATCGCCTGGACATTTGTCTGACTTAACATCGGTCGAGGGGCGGGGCATCCGAGCGATTCGGTAACGGGGCTCCCACTATGCCTTGGCTGTTGAGTTTTTGACTCCGCAGCGTCCTTCCTGCTACCCTTTGATGCTACTGGATGATCGTAGATCCCTTTGTTTATCCCTTGTATTTGATTGTGTATTTTTTCCTTGCGGGGATATTCCTCTCTTTGTAGTATGATGGCTGTTGCTCTGAGCCCCTATGTTATCCTTATCCCGCTTGGTCTCTTTTGTGTCGTCTTTATAGTTATGTAGATGTACTGCGTAGTAGTTTATTATTAAAAAAGTCCGTCGCTTGGGGACCAGATAAGGTAGGGCACCTTAGTTGCGATTTGGCAGTAGATTGTGTCGCCACTTCACACTGCGGATCCCTGTCCAGAGGAGAGGGATGCCCGTTGCGTTGCCCGTCTGGCTGGGGTCGCCGTGGCAAGGCTCAGGGCCTTTCTCAGTCTGGGGCCCCTTAGTCTTCGGAGGCTAGTCCGCCTGCCTGTACGGGGAGCAGTACGAGCGTGGTTAGTCGGTAAACCAGCAGTTCTGAGGGCTCGAACTACCGATGTCGATCACATCCAAAGGGTGGCCCATGGTCGCGACATAAAGTAAGCATGATTATAAAGAGAAATCCTGTTTAAGAATTGAACACTTTATTTGGCCAACGTTCCGGCTGCTTTGCCTTCGTCAGGGCCTGAGATAGTGCAAAGCATATGTGTGGCATGCTCGCCCAAACGCCTCAACAGGCATGAGGCTTAAACAGGATTTTTCTTTATTAAATATCATTCCAAGATTGCAAGGAAGTCGATCGGGTGTGAAGAGTGTGAGTGAGGGTACTTCAGATGCATCTCCGGAATCTTATCTTGCGGAATCATTCCAGAGAATCTTCCATTGATGTGATTCCGCTGTTGCCTATTTCTTTTGAACAGATCGTTGTCACATAATAGCTTAACTGATTTCCACGCGGAGCAGTGGGCATGGTGTGAGGGGTATAGGAATAAGCATCCTGTACTCAACGTAGGCCCGCTTCACGTAAAAAAGTGAGGAGGGCGACCAAAGACTGAACAGGCAAAGAAGAGATGAACACAAAAGGCGTGAGAATATGGCGCGTCGGCCAATGAGCCTCAAGAAGTTGAAATTGTGGGCAATGGAAAGCATGATCGCAGCCGGAAGGCAAGCTAGGAAGACAGCTGTAGGAGATTAGCAAGAGGGTGAACGTTTAACAGATAATATTGGAAGACTTCATGTTCTACGGATACCATGTCGAGTGTTTGGAGACCCACTTTTTGAGAGATGCTCGATGATGTCGAAACCTGTTAAGAGGTTACGGTGGTGATTGAAAAATCATTAAGTCCACAGACAGATAGACTATTGGATTTGCTCATGCCGTTGCATCAACCGTTATTTCTTGAAGTCTTTGATTCTTGCTCCCAACATCACTACTGATTCTCATAAGTAGAGCGTGATCACGCTTACGCCTACTTTAGGAACCGGAGGACACTGCTATTTTTCCTGCTGCTTCGAGCTCTTGAGTGATCCCATCATCTCAAGCTTGCATAGTAGAAGTTGATCTTTGAAATTAAGGTTTGCCTCCAAAACTTGAACTAGAGGTTGGCTTTTGTGTTTTTTACCTCACTCTCTTTAACACATAGAACTGGGGAATCAAACCTAGACAAGACACGGGGAGTAGCTATCTAGCGAAGTACTAAATCGAAAATGTTGGACATTCACGTCCACAAATGTCATGATCGCTTAACGTTCACAATAAATTTAACTTTTTGACTAAGCCATTCGAAGCGAGTGGATCTACAAGGCATCCGAGGGATCGCGATCCTATACGTTTTACTGATGCATCTCAGACCGCAGACGTTCCGCCTAGGTTTCATAGGAGTTGACATGTAAGTTAATCAGCAATCGCTTCACTGAGATTGTTCTATCTTCTGAATAGAATTCTTCGCTTTCAACAGGTTTTTCGTACTGTCTGGTTTTCTCATGACCAAAATCCTTCGCGAAAAAGAATTTTCCACTTGCTCTGTATGGAATTTCTACGTGCGCAGATTCAAAAGGATAGTGCCCCTTTACTTGTTGGTCGTCGTCGCAACGTACATCTGTAGGTTTTCAAATATTTTAATAAGATCAAAACTAGAGAAAAAAAAGGCCAACGCAGCTCAGGGAAGTACACAGCGCGGTGACTGACGAACTCAATGCGTTTATGTTCAGACGGTTACTTTTATCTCATCTATCCTGATCGCAAACAGCTGCTTGAAGACCTCCGATGGATATACACGTTCTCATCAAATATGCAACCGCTATTCCAAAAACTGGGCTACTGGGATCAGGTAAGACTTTAAGGACACTGTTTATGTGAATTAGATGACCGCAGAGGTGTTGACACAGGTGCTCGTGGTAGTGATGATGAAGGGGCTTGCCGAAAAGCCTGTGAAAGACGATCGCACTCACACAAGGGACAGTTGGTTCTGAACTAGTAGCGTGTTTTCTTTAACTTGACGTTGGATATGGTACTGACTGCTCGCTCATCTCGCTTATTGAGGGCCCGTGTCGAGTGAATAATCGATAACTGCAGGGCCTTTGTGGTTTGGAGATAAAAG